AGAGGGATTTAAGATATATATACACTGTATATTTATTTATAAAAATAAACAAGCATTCTGCAGATGTAGGAGGTGGGGTTAAAAAAATTATTTATTTATTTCTGCTCAACTATATCTCAACTTTTAGTATATAAAATCATAATATATATATAGTATATAAATTATACATGAATATTTAAAAATTGCCTCAATCATAAATTTTTCTTTTTCAACTTATAAACTTCATGTTTTTCTAACAAATGAACATTTCTAGTATGATTTTTGAGATTTAAACTATTTTCATAAGCAAATGAGGTCAAGGTTCTTTTGATTATAAACAACAAGATTTACCATTAATACCATCACGTATTGTTGATTTCATATTATCTGAATCATATAAACAGTTTGTCTAGAATGATATAATGGATGTTGATAATCTTCAGTTATTAAATCACTTAATTGATTTTGATCAATCTTGAAAAAATCAAATTTTCAAGTACTTCAATCCATCCGATTTTCCAGTTTCTTTAATTTTCATGATAATTAGTCTTTTCAGTGTTATAACATCTATTCTCACCTTAAGTCTCGGAAAATGTGTTTAACTTAACCAGAAATTAAAAGCTTTCATTTCTGAACTTGGTAATTTTACATTTTCTGATCTTGGATATTTTTAAAGAAGTTGCCAGTCATTTGTTTGATAATAATGCAAGAGATTCTTGGTATACTTGTTTATTAAGAACTTTTTCACAAGATCTAATCTTTTCATTAAATCATCTGTTGAAATTTAATTGAATCTTACTGGTGGGATTATTTCTTTTAACAAGTTTTCAATTTTTTGCATTCATTCCATTTTTTTCGCCCATTTGTCCAATACCACACTTAATGATGTGATCCCAAATTTCGATTTCAATTATTTTCAGACTAGTGTTGATTTTTCTATAATTGTGTGGCCGGCAGAGTCAATACTTTGGGTGTTTTGATGAAATTTCATAAACGTGAATTAAATTTTGTTTTGTTGAATCCATTCATTTTCTTGGACGATTAAATGAATGATTTTGTAAAATGTAATTCAAGAATTTCATCTGAACCCAGTTTATCTATTTTAACAGGCCCAACATAAATCTATCTTTTAATAATAAAAATAAAAACCTAAAATCATTGTATTTGATATATTATCTTTTAAATTTACATTCAATAAAAGAAATTTGAAGATATTTTCTTTTTCAAATAGAAAAATACTGTTTTCATATTTTTTTACCCAATTATTTCATTAAAATACGGAGATAGACCTTGTTTTAAAATTTTTGATATCCGTATCCATTTTAATTCTATACTGATATATGACTAATATATATATTGTTTTACTTGATCAAAAACGACGACGTCATGATAATAATAATTATGACTAAAATAAATTAAAATAATAATGATCACATTGTTTAAATATTACATAATTCGAATGTTTTATTTATACATATATATAAATAGGCAAATAATTCAAAACGAGAAGAAATAAAATAATAAATAAAATGACAACACCTAAATTACCAGAACCAAAAAAAGGTTTTTTTGGTGGTATCAACGATGCTCAAAAAATAATTATACTTTCAATTTTTGTATTATTATTTGCAATTATTACAAGTGTTTATTATGTTGGGTTGTATACAGTAATGAATTGGCTGTATGGTTGGATTCTGGATAAATTTGTTGATAAGGTCGATAAAGATGCTACTCAAATTAATGATAAAATCAAATATAATTAATGAATGGTAATTGTTATTATAAATATATTTATTAATATTAGTAATGATACATGCATAATAACTTAATTTCAATTAATATTCTAGTGTTCTATATATACTCGATTCTATAAAAATATATTTTTAAAAAGATTTTTTACAATTTTAAAAAAACATCTTTGACATATTCCCCATTTTTTATCAATGCTTTTGATTTTTATCTTCTAAAAATTTATAGTTTATTAGTGTAATTATTTGGTATTTCATAAATCAATAAATTAGCAACTTCATTTGCTAATAAAAATCTCGGGAATAATAATTTTCCTTATAAACTATTTCTTGAATTATTTTTCTTTGTCAAGTCGTCATCCTCATCTACATCTCATCCTCTTCGTAGTCATTATTCAAAATGACACTCAATTTGTATCCTGATCCATATTTATTTTTAAATCAATTGAAGTTCCCGATGCTTTGATTCTACCATTCAACATCACGCATATTTCAGCTTTTTCATAGAGTGAGTTGTCGAAACTATTGCTTTATTTTTCTTAAAGTCACTCAAGCACATGTCTTCTATTGGCAGGATCCATCCCATATTATTGGTTCATCCATAAAAATTACTATTGTTGACATTAATTTTGTTAATATACGCTTCATGCCTCTGTTAAAAGAACCAACTAGTCTTTTACCATAAACTTTATTCAATTTCCATAACTACACCTCTCGTTTATAACTTCAGTTTGTTCTAACTTCGATGAGTTTTTAATTTCAAAATACAATTCTAAATGTTCTTAAACTGTTAGGTCACAAACACTGATAAAGTTCAAATCATTTCTCATGTTATAATAATAATTGTGCTGTAGACATAATAATGCACTTCCTCCACTTATTGATGTTGGACTTGATAACGTATTCATAAAAGTAATTCTACCTGTCCCGAGATTAAACAGTTATTTTTTTTATCGATAAACAAAGTTTATCAACCGCTTTTGTATTTTTGTAAATACTAATTTTTGATTCGAAAACCAATCCCTTTTCTTTGATTACTTCTTCGTTCACCATTCTCATCTCATTCTTATTTTTATTGTTGTTGTCGATACTTTATTTAATTTGTTTAACAATTTTTCAAATTGTTTCTATTATTATTATTACTATTACTATTTTTGCCGTTGAATTTTGATTTAAAATATGGAGAGTGTGTGAAATTGTGTGCGGGCGCGTGTGTTACATAAAAAATGCGCACATTTGTTGATCATCACCAAAAAAATTTT